TCTATTAAATGAATAAAATAATAATTCAGCTACACTAAATTGGAAACGGGAGGGCTCTTACATCTTCTCGTACTTGCTTTAATTATTGTCATTTATCCACAGTTTTGTAACTCAGACCATTTTTAATAGTACTATTTATGTGCTTTTTCAGTTTTACACGTGCAAAGCGCATACCCAGAAACTAGTTTAATTTATGCCAAAGGACTAATATTTAACAATTGAGAAATCCCTAGGACCAATGGCGAACGGCTTGAAACTCGGTGGATAGAGGCCTGCCCATTTACCCTTCTCCATTTAAATACCACACATTCAAATACCAAAGATTGGGGGACAATGTTTCAAGTTTTCATATTGTGAAGTGCACTACTTTAGTGCCAGTTGTACCACATGCTCCAAAGTCCGCAAAATTGTGGGACACTTGCATTGATGGAATACAAGGCGCTCAGTAGGAGGTCATGTCTCATCCTTTAAATACTATTACACCTCCCTTCCCTCTTATAGGATAATGTTTTCACCACTAATTATCCTATTATATATCCAATGTCAAACTAGTGCACTACAATTTCCTAGTTATAACATTCTTTAGTTAGTGCTACCTCATTCCTTAAATGCTGCAGTTGACCTTTTTTGATGCACAAACCTAAGGAAAAGAGGAAGTGAGAATTTTGTCCCATAGCAACTGTTTTTTAGCAGTCAGGTCATTTATAAATTTCATATTCACATTCAAACAATGCCTTAGATATGAAATAAGTGTGTGCACCTAGGGTGCACTCTGCTTTTTTAAGACAAAGTAAGATGCACCTCAGGTGATCCTGCCATAGTTTTATTTACATATTCAGTCATGACACACTCACTCCACTCTTTTTACATTTTTTGCAAGGTAAGATTTTTATTGATCCACAATACCAAGGTAATTCTGTAGAAAATTACTAAAAGTTGAAGTTGACTCATACGATTCGCCAAGTCCAACAAGTCAGCCCAGTTGAAAATAATGTTCCTTCAACATAAATGCTCTTCTTGCCTTCAAAACACCTCCTTTACCATTCCAGTCAAATAGTTCAAGCAATGCATAAAGCTGATGTAGAGCCTCTGCCGCAGAGCTTGATCCCCTCTTCTGTATAACACTTAGCCAATGTCTTTCCCACTCTTCTTGTCAACTTAATTTAGAAGGTCAAGCTCAATTAGTCCTATCAATCATTACTCATTAGCACAGAGGATGGACAATTACAGATGGGACATCAATCCCGACAGACATCAATTTGCCTGTTGTCTCCACTAGTTCCTAATATGGTTCAATCAAGCAAACAAGACAACATCATGCATTAAAAACTGCAGTTTTATTACCTCATCGCAACTTCCTTCCGCACAGTATAGCGGATCTTTTTATCAAAACACCGTTCTTTCCTCTTTTCCCTAAAACGATTTAAAGAAGCAGCTCTTTGTGGTTGATTCAATCTTCCAGGAAAGTCACCTGAAGCCTGTGAATATTGCCGAGGAAGTGCCATAACTGATTATAAACCACCAGTCTGGTAAAAGAATGTAAGCGGGATATAAAGATGAATACCCTCTGACTTTGGGGAGCCACATTGACAGCAGGGATGCCAGGAGGGACTTCGTATCCCCCCAACAGTAACAGCACCGCCTGAACCTAAAACTCAATAAACATAAAAACAGAATTTACCCCTATTAAGATGATTGTAAATATCAATTTGAAGTTTTAAACCCACTAAAGGTGGATTGAATTCCACTACCAGATGCATATACTAAACAGTGTTTCAAAAAGCGCAAAAAAGCAATAAGCACCATGGAGCTTGAAGTGAAAAGTGAGAAGTAAAGCGCATGCTCATTTGAAGTGAAGCGCACAATTCTCAACGTCAAAAACAATCTTAAGTATGTGAATTTAGCACTATAACAATCAAATTGCAATTAAAATAACTAATTTCAGTATCCATAAATCTAACTCAGCGAAGTTGAGACTCAAAGCATCCACGGCTTCTCATTTGGATCACTCTGTGCATCATTTTTAACACTTCTATGATGTACATGACTTCACCCATGAAGCAACAACCCCTTACTCGGCATCATTGAGTAGATTTTAATTACAGTGATACTAAAATCATGCCAGTGAGAATCACTCCTACTCGTGGAAGATAAAAAAGACCAGCATGGCCTCTTAGCTTCATAATTTGATCAATATCAACCAATCCACCATACACATATAAGCTAACCGATTCACCAATCAAATACAATCTAATCTCAGAAACGACCAGTTTCAGAGTCTTGAATCCCCTCAACTCCAAAAGTCACGTGAGAGTGAGGCAAGAACATTTGGCCAAATACAGAATTACCCCCAATTCCAAAATTGAACCCCCCCCCTAACTCACTCAATCTCTTGTAGACAGCACATTACACAAAAACAGCAAAAATCCTAGTAACGCAAAAAAATTAAATGAAGACCAATCTCGCTAAATAAAAGAACACACTACACAAAGACGAGCAAGATTCACAAAATAAAGGGGCAAACATTCTTAGTACGCACTAGAAGATAGGTCAAAGTAAAAAAAATACCTTTTCAGGTGAAACGGCATCAAAAACATAAACTTCGCCTTGAAACGACAGCGTAAGCTGATCGGAAGCTCCACTACCAGCAGTAGGAACAATTTCGGAAGAGGGACCATACAAGGCGTTATGAGAAACACCTTCCACACCATTCATCTCCATAGAACCGCCGGCGCCGCCGTTGTGAAGCGCGTGAGAATGAGAGTGATGATGTTGGTCGTAGCGAATGTGAGGAGTAGGGTTGTCCATAGACTCTATTCCTCCTCCACTTCCACCACCACCGCCGCCGCCAGCAGCGACGACGTCGTCATCATCGTCGTCGTCGATCTGAGTTTGCTGGTGTCTATCTTGGTGAAGTGCAGCGTTCATTGTCTCCCGTCCGTACATGTTAGCTCTGCGATTTGCTTCTGCCATTTTTGACGTCTTTGATTTATATTTTCTAAAAAAATAAAAATACTAAAAGACGTTATTACCCCGACACTGCCAGCTACTATGATCCAACGTATCTAGCTCCATAAACTTTTAATCATATCCAAACAAACCCGAATCCTTAAGCCCAAAAAATAGGCTCGACAAAATTCTTCCTTAAAATAAAGGGAAAATACATAAAAATTCTCCTGAATTTGGCACGAAAACTTACTTTAGTACTTCAACTATATGGGTGTTTATATATCCTAATCTTGTTTAAAGTGAATAAATACTCCCCTAAGAATACAAAACCAGCCTCACAATGGAAAATATATTACACACGCGCCAAGTCATTGCCATATCAACGCCACATCATTGCCACGTCAGAATCGTGTTGGAAATCAGTTTTAAAATTTTATTTTTTTCCTTCCCTTCTTCTCTCTTCCATTCAGAAATCAATTTTTAAAATTTAATTTTTTTTTCCCTTCTCTCTCCAATGGATGCACTACATTCCACCTCCATTAGTGTTTTCTCATTTCTTGCTTGATTATCATTAATTTTCACTAATGACTTTTCTATTTTCAACCTCAATATCTTCTAACAATTTCACTAATTTCTTTTGAGAAAATTCTCATACATTTTCTATCAATATCCATTGATGTGAGATTGCAACAAATATGGACCTACATTGAATTTTTTACCGATTTATTGCTCTCTTTGGTATTTGAGGACAAATAAATCAACTGAAAATGTAGATGAATTCGACCCTTTAGTAAAAAAAAAACAATCCTTTCCAATATTCCATCTTCAAAAACCCTTATTTTTTCATGACATACAACAATCATAAAAATGTGTTAATGAAATTTTCTTTAGTTTGACAGAAATCTCAAGTTTGATCGGAACAAAGTTTAATGATTTTTCTCTCTTTAGTAGATCTGAAAACAAAAAAAAAAATGAAGATTAAAATGCAGGTGAGGTAGGGTACAATGGGGGTGTTCGAAGAAGGAGAAAGGGCGAGATAAGGGGGTTCAAAATAAGTAAAAAGGGCTGGGGAGGGGGGTGGGGGGTGGGGGAGGGTTTGCAGAAGAAGAAAAAGGGGATTGGGGGTGGGTGGGTTTGGAGAAGATGAAAGTAGGGGTGGCCGGGTGGATGATTTTTTTTCTTTTTTAATTATATAATACATATATTAGCAGGACCAATTTTTTAATAAAAAAGAAAGACGCTCTTAACTATTTTCTTTATGCCACGTCAGCATTAAGGGGGTATTTATTCACTTTAAATGAGATTAGGGGTAAATAAACACCCGTGTAGTTGAAGTATTAAAGTAAGTTTTCGTGCCAAGTTCAGGGGGATTTTTATGTATTTTCCCTAAAATAAAATATAAACAAGAATTTTGTCCATATAATCAATTGTTCGAATGTAAGCAGAAATTATTGTTACTTGGTTTAGTTTGATTTGAAAAATAAGAGATAAATCGAACTAAATTTTATATATAAGAAACATTTTTGTTTTTTAATAATATTTTACAAATTCTTTTTAAAATTTTCTTTTCCACTTTTTCCTTTTTTTTGTTTAAATTATGACGATGAAAAAGTTGTGATATAATCAAGCTTCGCTTAGTGTTTAAAGAGTTCTTTTAATTGCAAATATTGACCAAAGAATATATTTGAGATTGGTCAAATAATTCGATTATATGTATTAACAAAATAACGGAATCAGTTAAATTTAAATACGTTCATGTGCATGGATAAAATTCAATTTGAATATGTGGCCCCGTCCAGAACAGATTAGTCTAGGCGGGATATTGATAAAATGGTTTGTTACGAACATCTCAGGCCTTACAATATGCAAATTCATCTCAGGCCTAAATTTAATATTGGAAAGACGAACTATATCAATCCTTAATGACCATGTTTCTCCACTTAAATTCATCTCGGGCCTACATTATGCATTACTAATTGTTTCTCTAGTAGTTACTATAAGATTCTCAGATGCAAGCAAATAAAGATGTCAACTAATCCCTTTTCAAATGAAAGAATAAGGTTTTGCGCATGTTAACGGGGCATAGAATAAACTTATTTCCTAACGTATTCTCAAAATACCAAAAAACTAATGTCAGTACTCTATCTAAAAATAAAGAAACATCAGATACATCACATCACATAGTATACAAAATAAAAGTATAATTGGCTTTTGACATAGTTCTAACTGTACTAGTTCAGTATACAAAATTGGGATCCTCTTTGGTAAGTTCATTGGTTATTCAGTTAGTATGAATGCCTGAAGGAGACTCTGAGCTGCCTGGGTTTCATCTGGGGTCCCAGAGATCACGATAATCCTGTCAGTTGTTCCAGGACGGGGCTCGTGTACCATGACCCTTGCTCCTGAAATCTGATTCAGTTCCGCAGAAAGATTAAACACCAGCACAAAAGTGAATCAAGTACAAAGAAGGCATATGAGTTTAACAATCCTGTCTACCTTCCACAAACCCAATTAATAAAGGGAAAAAGGCTAAACGTACCTGTCTTAAACGAGTCAAGTTGCTCCCGTCCTCCCCATACACACAGCTCATGATGTTTTCAGGAACCATGATCTTCACAGTAGTATTGGTCACTATGGCAGATCTGCTTCCACTGCAAGCAATAGAAAAATGCAACAAGCTGATGAATACAATCAAGAAGTTTCTACTCGGGCATCGAGATAATCTTACATATCTTTTGTTCCAAGTCTATAATGACCATTTGGTAAATCTAGGCAGTGAATTTTTTCGTAAAAATCATATTATAGGGAATCCACCCTCGTAATTACATCCTGTCACAGTTGAAAAAGCATTAGGCGCTTGTGAAGCAGTGCAAGACACCAACCTTCCAAGTTCTATGACACCTTTAACTGAATTAGATCCTTTGCTGACATCAAAAGCACCTCTCTGGTTTACTGCAGGTCGTGTCTAATAGCCAAACCCAACGGAAATGTTCAAAGATAAGTCAGTGAACATACATTAAATTGAAGGGAAAATTAAACATTCAGCGGTTCATCACCTGTGATGACCACAGCCCCGGTGATGGGGGATGATCTATCTTGTTGGAAAGTACAAGGTTATTAATAGACCGTGTTAACTCAGGATGTTGATTGTTACCATGTGAGACACCACTAGACCGATGAAATCCAAAAGGAGGTTCCTTCATTTGGCCAGAGGGACTACTTTCAGATGTCAAAGGGGAGCTGTTTCTACTGATGCCACCATTTGACACCTTTGCTGCCAAGAGGTTATCACGCAACCGACCAGTGACATTTCGTAAAGCATCTTGTACATTTACGAACTCACCTGCAATCTATACAATACAATATCAGTGCAACAGATACACCAAAATGTCTGATTTTATATAGATTGATTTGACTAGGTCCAGGAAACCACATATGAGTGAAAGGAAGTGTTTGATAACTTTCAAATCATCTAATGAAAAGATAATTCTCCACAAAAAAGGACATATCGAAACATCTCCTCTTTTAATTTAAATTACAAACTCTTCAAGTTTCATAAAGTAATTAAATTTATAATATTATTGCATAAAAGAGCAAACCACAGCTGCAATTTTGTTAAATGAATTATATTTAATTTGCATCGACAAGCAAGACAATAAACATTGTTTTTTTTTATATCGATTATCGACTGTGCATCGTGGGTTCTAACTAGTATATTAAGGAGAGGTGCCAAAATAGTTCTGTATTAACAAGCCTAAGGTTTTCTTTTTCCAGAGAAATTTCAGGATTCGGTCACAAGAAACTTGCATATTTTGTAACTTAAAAAGTGCATTACTCTAATATTTTGACATCAAGAATATATCACCAAGAATTAATGAACTCAGTACATATCGTTAAACTTAATGGACCAGTAAGTCAAACCTAGATGAACTAAAACGAAAATCGAGATAATTATGACATGGACAATTTGCTCAATTTATCCAAAAAAGAACAATTTACTCAATTTATCCAAAAAGGGACAATTTACTCTTAAACTTAAAAGGTCAATGGTCTGACAAACAATGTGTGTAAACACAAATTAGCTTCCGAAGGTTGAGCAGTCTCAATTTCACTACAGGATTTGCGAATAAATGTTGGGTAGGATCACCTCGAATGGCTTGAACCGCATAGGGGAAGACCCACAGGTACAGCGATTGGGTAATCTTTTCGACAAATCAGCCAGCGCCACACTAGAGGGACTGAGAAATAAATCGAGTACAAATCTTATCTTCAGGCTTTACCTTACTGATCCTTTGGAGTGCAATCAGTAAGTTTTATTTTATCGCAAAATCTATCAAACAGCAAATTTCTCAACTATCTGAACAAACAAATCATGCCTGTTTTTGACGAGGTAATTCTTATTACTCCCATACTTATTAGTTTCTTCATGCAGTGAGTGCATTTGACGCACTTGACAGTTGAGTAACATGCATTTAGTCTTTAATAACTAATCTAATATGTTTGAAGATTAATTCAAAGTTTGGAGTATTTCTCAAAAAAAAAAATCGAAGTTGGAGTAAGAAACCAAAATTGTTTAGGATTTAATATTTGCTATTTTTAAAAATTTCATGTCTAAACAGGATTTATAGTCAAGTTATATAGGAATAGGTTTTCTAGTTTCTAGTCAAAATAGGTTTTGTACTATTATAAATAGGATTTTTGCTAGCTATTTTCTAAGTGGGGAATTGTGGAGAACATTGAGAAGATTTATGAAATTTTGAGTGTGTTCGGGATGAAGAAAAATGTTTTCTAGGAAAATAAGTGGGTTTCCTACTTATTTTCTTGTGTTCAGTAGTTGAGCAAAAAAAATTATCCTAAAAGGATTTGTATATAATTTAGATAAATACTATGGGAGGTGGGAGGTGGGAGTTGGGAGGACACAATCAATGTGGAATCTCACAAGTAGAACTTGTTTTCCCTACTTTCATTTGTTTTCTTTTATGACAAAAGAAACCCAAAGCCGCTACCCTTTGGGTGCGCACAGGGTAAAACTGTTTTCCCTACTTTCATTAGAGAACTCATTTTAAATGTGGAACTCATTTTCCTCTTTAACTACAGTGGCAGGCTTGAATATGTTCTGATGGCCAAGTTAAACGCCCTAAAGGGGAGGCTAAAAGAGTGGAGCAAAACTACCCATGGAAATCTAAAAATGCAAAAACCTAATGTGCTAAATCAATTAGCTGACCTGGAAGTGATTCAAGAACAAAGAGCTCTAGTAGGAGGGGAAATAGCTTCTAGATTGGCATTGACCTTGGAGTTTGAGGACATAGCCAAGCCTGAGGAGATAGCTTGGAGACAGAGTCACTAGTAGAACTCATTTTCTTGTGTTCATGAGGAGATGGTTTGAATATAATTTAGATATATACTATGGGAGGTGGAAGTGGGGAGGACACAATCAATGTGGACTTACCTTCCCTAGACCCCACTTGTGGGACTAAACTGGGCATGTTGTTGTTTGTATCGTTAAATTCATCGTTACGTAAAGAAAAAAAGTTCCATTTAATGTAATGACCGATTTAGTGTGATCGCCTTAGAACCTTTTTTTTCTCATTTTGTCTTTGATTATTATTTGATAATTCTATTTGATCTTTTAACCAACCTTTATATAATAACTCTACCCATATTCTACTTTTTCATTAGGTTCACTCTTAGATTGCTGATGTGAGGCATTATGTAATGATGGGAAAACGATACAATCTATCCAACTATTGTAATCATCAAAATAATACAATACATTATAAAAAAATATGTAACAACCATCACAAACAAGCTGTAAATGAAGTCCTATGTTTCTTTTGGAGGAGTGATCTACAACGAAGCATATATGACTTAATAATTAGTTTCAGATATATGGTACATTAGTAAAAGTATTTCTAAAGTTTGAAGAAGCTAAAAAAGGACAAAGGCTGAACAATCTCACCTGTACAACTTCATCATTGTCCGAGACACACTTAGGAACTTGGTCACCTCTAAATATCCGTATGCTGGTACCTGTCTCCTTCCTGATATCTGAAATTATTGCGCCTCCCTTCCCCAATAAACAACCAACTTGGCTGTTTGCCACCACAAGTCGGAATGTAATTAGTGATCTTGTTCCCAAATTCATCCCAGAACCAGCATCCAGAATCCGATCAAAAACAAGAACAACAGCGGTTTGTGCTGGAGATTTCCGTAATTCTAGATTCTATATAAAAAGAAAACTAAATCACTTGACCCACATACTACAGATAAAAAGATACCCAAGACAAAATACACCCAACTAACCTCTAATGCAGTAATAGTTATCATTCGCTCGTTGCACTCAGCAACATTTGGCCCAACAGCAATGCTTGCTCCGCTGTCATTCTGAAGAGCCCTAACAATTGTTCCAGCCTTGCCAATTATAGCCCCGACCTTATCATTTGTGCAGAGAATCCTGAAAGCAACCTCTTGTAATGGCATTTTTGAATCAATGCTGGAAAACTTGTCAGCCTCTAGTGGCACAGAATGACATCCAGAGGCACCTGAGAAAGAGCTTGTAGTTATTGGCTGTGACATTGAACTCCTTTGTGCAGGTAGATCAATTGGCTCAGGGGGCAAAGTCTGCTCTGAATCTAACTCAATTGGTGCATTATCAACCGTTCTAGTCCTTTCAACAGAGAAACAATCTTGAAGGCGGCGACTGACAGCAACAAGTGCTTTCTTGACAGCCAGAATATCCCCTTCTATCTGCCATTAACCAACAATTAACACATCAGAAATCTTCTGACATATTCATTGTGCCGTTACCATTTAGTTAAAGATATTCAATTATAATGTAGATTTTCCTGGTAGACTTTTGCAAAATTACAGAGCTAAGAGTGTAAGTTGTTGCATCGATGCTTTCAAAAAATTACTATGCATTTACAGGTTCACTGAAGGTCATGCTACTCTCTTCTGGAGTATATAGCTGCTGCAATAACAGGGGTCCTGACAGCAGAAAAATTATAACATGTACAACAACATATCCAGTGCAATCTCACACAACTGGGGTCTGGGGACGGTAGAGTGTACGCAGACCTACCCCTGCCTTGGGAGGTAGAGAAGTGAAATTATAACATGTTAAAAAAGGATAATTCTGAAAGTAGCTCAAAAAGTTTAAGAAGTTTTTAGACTTCACTATGAATGCATGCTTCTGCAGATCTAGTACAAACTAAAATCAATCTTGCTGATGATTTGCAATGTTTCAAAGTAAAAACTTGATTCTTAAAAACAGAATGGTGGAAGAAAACTGAGAACTAAAAGAGGCAATGCCACTGTATGTTACTTGGCAATACAAATTGTTTGGTTAGCAGACAAGACATACATGGATTGCAGTACAAGATATGGATAGTCAAAAGGTGATTTAAAGTAACTAAATTTTTGAAAATGGTAATTGGGGTATCCGAACAATCTTGTGCGCACCTCAACTGTTGGATATTAGGTCTTCATATTCAAACCTAAAACTTGCAGTATTTGGTTTTGAAGGATGAAGATTTGTTAGCAATAATATGCTTAGCCTATATTACAATTTTAATCAAACTACTATTGGTTCTGTAATGGTATCAAATAAAGCACTTTGAGGAAAGTTAATTTGGAGATATACTAAAACATGAGATAAGTGACCTCTTTTAGACATTGAAAATTCCATGTTAAGCACTCGTAATCAGCTTATGTCAAAACACTTTCTTATAACAAAAGAATCATACTACAAACATCAGTACAAACAAGAGCGATAACGACAGATGGTTAACTAAGTATTTTCAAGGGCATTATGGCTATTTATTTGATCTAATATTTGCTAATATGAGTAAGGTTATTCCACAATGGATTTCGGTATGAAACCAGACAATAGCATAGTTGCAGGTTTCATTTATGGTAGTAATATTTACGGGGAAGCCATGCACACGTTGAGTTTCCAATACGACAAAACCAAATGAGCCCTAATGACGTCACAAGAAAATCATGTGACCAATACGCTTACAATCATGTGATCAATATTTATTTTATTTTATTTTTTGACAAGGGAAACCCGCAGCCGCTACCCTTTGGGTGCGCACAGGGTAAAACCCTGCTCCTATGCAATAGCTCGCAAACCACATAAGAGAAGTAACCCGCACTAGGCAAGCCCAGTGAGACGAGCTCACCTAGAAGGCAAACCCCTTGCTTTCGCTGGCAAGGGGTTTCGAACTTGAGACATCCAACAAGGAAGTCCCAAGCCCAATCATGTGATCAATATGCTTACAATCATGCATATGAAATCAGCTACAAAGTAAAATTTTAAAAAATTGAAAATTGGGATTGAGCATAGGCAACTTCAAATTTGATATACTACATATGAAACCCGAAAAACATGCAGCCTTAAAAGGAATTTGCAAGAAATTAATCACCTCGACAATTTCATCATTGGGCGAAGCACAACTTGGCATCTTTCCTGAAGTTAATACCTTAATCCTACATCCATTTTCTCTTCTAATTGTATCTATTACTTTTCCACCTTTGCCCATCAAAGCCCCCACTTGATTCCCCTTCACTAATAACCTGCACGACACAACATTCTCCACACCCAAAACTAGTCCATTATTTTCCGCTGTTACTTCTATCACTCTCTCAAAAACCCTAACAAGTGCTTCTTGTGCAGCCGAAACCTCTATTTCATCAATTTCTTCATTCCGCTGGTTATCCCCAATGGGGCCCAATAGCCTTATCCTCTTGTTTACTGAAGCAGGGGCTACTACAACAATGAGTCGGTTGTGGTCGTTTGGTGCGGACACATCAACGTGAATCTTAGCGGAGGTGTCTTGTTGAAGTTGTCTAATAATGGACCCTGATTTTCCGATAACTCCACCGACGCGTGAAGCATGGCAGAGAAGTCGGAACACAACACGTCTCGGTAATGGTTGTGGTGGAAGGTGTGAGTTGTTGACCACGGCGGGCACACCGGCGGCGCCGGCGGCGGTGGAGGAATTGGCGACGGAGGCGGCAACAGAGTTTTCGTGCATTAGTGTAGTAGCTTAGGACTTTCCCAGAATTGATAGAGAAAAAAGAGTGCAAGTCTAGCCCTATGTAATAGTAAAAAAAAAAAAAATTTTGGACTGATGAGTGGACTTCTATTCGATATTGACAATATATGACTTAATTGTAAAAAAAACATCTCATTATTATATTACTAATTTATTGCAATATCATCCACTAACAAGACTTATAAAACCAATTTATTACAATATCATTCATTGAGAAGAGGAGTTTTAAAACTAATTTATTACAATATTATCATCCACTACCAAGAGGAGTTTTTTCTGGTAAGCAAGCAATAAAAGGAGTCATAAATTATAAAAGCGTAATGTATTATGGTCCATAGTTATTTATCTATATTTGAGTTTTGACTTGTCATACTTATTGTAAATTAATAAATAAATTATTAATTTTACTATATCATTCCTTGTTATTATAAGTCATTTTCACTCATTTAATTCTCGATCAAAAAGATTACCAAAGAGAATACACCTAGACCTAATTGGTTCCATAAGTTAAGTTCCTAGTTTTAAAATAAACTTAAAATAATTGATACTATCATTAGGTGAAGTAGAATTTGGCTCCCTTCCGTTACATCTTTTGTTATCGTCCAATGATGAAATTGTAGAGGTAATTAATATCTTGCAATTATTTTCAAGGTTGTTTTTCTAGTTATACTATTACCAGAAGAACAAACAATAAAATTTGGCAGATCAACTCTGAAGTTGCCTATGCTCATTGGGGATAACTTTTCTCAAGTTAAAACTATCTTTTTCTTAATATGTGGATTTGAAAATAAATCTTTGTTCAACCAATATAAATTAAATATTATTGTATAATTTATGTAGGTCAGTGCGAAAGGCAGTAATGATTTTTCCTTAAAATGTTCAGTCTTTATTATAGGGTTCAAGTCTATATTCATGATTTCATATTATTCTGTTTTTTCATTAAATATTTTTACAAATAGACGCAAAAAATAGTGTACTAACAGATTTCTTATTAATTAATTAGCATATTCATAAGTTTTGTTAAATTTCATTTACGAATTTTGTTTTTTGTTTTTATATAATAGATTTTAGGGAAAATTGTATATAATAACAAACTATTAATTCAAATTAAATGCTATTAATATAGCTTGATTTAATTGTACCTCATAGCAAACAATTGTTATTTCACCTCTCTCCTGGTGAATCTCGCTCGCCACTCTCGTTCTCTCCCTACCTCTCTCGTTTTTTATACAAACGCAAGTGTATAAAGTGCGTTTGTGTTTGTATAAAGCGAGAGAAAATTGTATATATACATATATTTTCGTTCTCCTCTCTCCCCTTTCCCATATCTCGCTCTCACTCGCCTCTCTCACTTTATACAAAAAACGCAAATTGTATAAAATGTGTTTGTGTTTGTATAAAGTGAGAGAAAATTGTATATATATATTTTTTTTTCGTTCCCCTCTCCCAGATCTCGCTCTCTCACTCGCCTCTCTCACTCGTCTCTCTCACTTTATACAAAAACGCAAATGTATAAAATGCGTGAAAATTGTATATATACATATATTTTTGTTCCCCTCTCCCAGATCTCGCTCGCTCACTTGCCTCTCTCACTTTATACAATTGATGTTTTTGTATATGTATACCAAAGCAGACTATACAACTGCTTTCTTTTGTATATGTATAACGAAATATACATATTTATGTTTGCTATGGAGCGCAATTATGCAAACTTTGCTATAACATACAAATATGAATTTTGTGTTTGCTATATGTGAAAGTTGCTCTAGATTTTATAATTTATTTTACGTTTATATAGTATTATTTTACGCATTATTTTGTAGAATTAAAAAAAGGTAAAACAATATTTCTATTTATTTGATTGTCCTTTGAATTTCAACAGTTACTATAACACTTATGGATAGGTTTTAGTTTTCACTTTAATTATATAAGTAAGACACCAAAATATCAAGTTTTGATCATTTTATGTCTTCTCTACAACAATCTACTCTTTTTGTTTATTTTTATTTTGCTTAGCTCCAACAAAAATGTCCACGTAAATCTATTTTTTCCCTTTTGAAAAGTTTATTTTTTGCCTATTGCTACCATTTAGGTGTTTATATATCTATGGACTAGATTGAAATGTTTTATTATACTTTATCTAATTAATTTATGTCTACTTTATTATCAATCAATTATTTGTAGCCGAAAGAGGTCTCCATATAGTTATAGTTGTACCTGCCAAGTATTTCTTTTCCCATTACTTCTTACAAGTATTTATGAAACTGGCATATATGCATATTTCCTTTATGCAACAATCTCCACTTAATTGAACTTTAAGGAACAATTACACTACTTTAATTTTTCATTATTGCTATTTTTTAAAGTTTGCATTGAACGTCTTTTTTATGTTAAAATTGGGACATGATTATCATGTTATATTGCGTAGTATAATCATACTATAGAATTTGGCCGCGCTTCGTGCAGTTATAAAAATATATATAAATTTATTTTAGAAATTAATTATGATACAAGAAATAAAACCAATTATAGAAATAAGAAAATGATAAAATCACGATACAAATATTTTTGTAGAATTAGAGCTTAAGTGAATTACATTTTTATTATCAAATATTTTTCAAAATTAAAAGGCGAACTTATTAAGAAAAAAAATCATATATTATGATGTTAATACATATAATACGAATAAACATATTTAAGGACTTGATCTTTTTTTCTTGTTTTTATTAAATATTAAATTTACTATCTGATGAATCTTCTTTTTATTTGAAAAAAATGATGAAACTAAAAATAGGAGGAAAAAGAGATAAGTATTTCAATCGAATTTCTTCTTTGATACTTAATCCTTTCATTTTCCTTGATTTTTCTCTAATTTTTCATCATCGTCTAAATAAATATTTTTCTCTTATTTTCCATCATCATCATCTAAATAAACCTCTATTACTAATTTTTCATTACTAATTTCCGTGTATATCTTATATTATTCTTTTGGTAATTCTTTTAAAGTAGAAGAAATGAACAAATTTAAAGAAAATGTAAATGGTTCTTCACCATAATAAACACCTAAGAACGGTGTATTTCAATATTTTATATACATTTCTTTTGAGCCATGAGTAGTAAAATTTGAACGTCTCTTAGCGTAGTTAGCTATTTCTGGCAAAGTTACAAATAACTAATTTGAGCCTAAGTGAAAATGTAATTTACTACAATTAAAAAATTTATAAGAACCTAAATTTAAAAATATTATAGAGATAACACATTTTTGTTAAGTTCGTAATCACAAAAACAATATGAAAAAAAGTTACATAATCAGTGCACATATTTTTGAGTTTTTATCCGGCTCCCCTCTATCCACATCCAAGAGACTTTTTATGGAGTCAAACTAAAGTATAAGTCTAATATTACAATAATAATATAAAATATCACTATTTCAAATATGAAATAAAAATAATAATCTTGAGTAAGAATCTTATGAAACCAAAAATATGAATTTATATTGACAAAATTAAAGTAATATCATAAGGTATCTTAAATTTTGAAATTAAATAATTGGGGGTTATGGATATGAAAATTTAAAGAAAATGAGTTAATAATATTAATTAAAGTAAAAGTTCAATAGATATAAGTTATGGAGATAAAAAAATTAATATAAATAAAAGAAGGAAAAATAAAATAATGAAGCTTCCTTCTTCATTTCGATGAACTTATACTAAGCTAATGTGAACATCTCTTTGTAATGAATTTTTGAAGAATATATCATTGATCTTCATCAAAGTGAAGCACATATCATGTCACTATCGTTTCTATAATTTCTTATGAAAAAAATGAAGAATAAAAAAAAAGAAAAAAAATTAAAGAGAAAAAAAAAAGGGAAAATTGTATATAATAGCAAACTATTAATTCAAATTAAATGCTATAAATATAGTTTGATTTAATTGTACCTCATAGCAAATTGTTATTATTTCACCTCTCTCCTGGTGAATCTCGCTCGCCACTCTCGTTATCTCCCTCGCCTCTCTCATTTTCTATACAAACGCAAGTGTATAAAGTGCGTTTGTGTTTGTATAAAGCGAGAGAAAATTGTATACATACATATATTCTCGCTCGCCACTCTCCCAAATCTCGCTCTCTCACTCGCCTCTCTCACTTTATACAAAAAACGCAAATTATATAAAATGTGTTTGTGTTTGTATAAAGCGAGAGAAAATTGTATATACATATATTTTCATTCCCCTCTCCCAGATCTCGCTCGCCACTCTCCCAGATCTCGCTCTCTCACTCGCCTCTCTCGCTTTATACAAAAACGCAAATGTATAAAATGCGTGAAAATTGTATATGTACATATATTTTCGTTCCCCTCTCTCCCCTCTCCCAGATCTCGCTCGCCACTCTCCCAAATCTCGCTCGCCACTCTCCCAAATCTCGCTCGCTCACTCGCCTCTCTCACTTTATACAATTGATCTTTTTGTATATGTATACCAAAACAGATTATACAATTGCTTTCTTTTGTATATGTATAGCGAAATATACATATTTATATTTGTTATGGAGTGCAATTATGCAAACTTTGCTATAACATACAAATATGAATTTTGTGTTTGCTATATGTGAAAGTTGCTCAAAAAAAAAACTACACTAATAATGAGAAAACGCAAAAACAAATATTCAACATCTCCATGAATGATTGTTATTTATAGATTTGATAATCCATAAGAATAGTTAGAAAGGAGTTGAATAGTCATGTTATTTAAGTAGAGTGTATGAATAGATGGTGATTTTATTGTAACTCATTTGGCATAATTAGAATAGTAAATATGATTGAATTTTTTATTTAATAAAAAAAATATTTAATGAAAAGAATTAAGAAAAAAAGGAGAAAAAAATATAAATATAAATGGAGGTTATAGAGAGGTGTCACATCACCTTGTCTTTCTCCTTTATATTATATATAGATATTTAAGCACAACAATATCCAATAGCTATGAGAAATGTACCATAAATAATATACCTTTCAACCATGCCAAAAATTTAAAATATTGAA